AATATTTTATTTTATCATTATGACATATTTAGTTCCAATCACAATCTGTTCTTTTCTGCATATTACTTTTAAAAAATAATGTCGATGTTTCACATCTGCCAGGCGTCCCGTGACGGCTCACACTTTTTTATTTTATTACCACAATCGTAGTACTAAATTCCATAGTACCTGGTCGAATCGATTTCGCTTATAAAGTCATAGCCTTTAACGTCTAAGTAGGCCAACGAAAACGTTATTTATATTTTATTTGAAGAATCATTAATCACAGTCCCTACTAATAAATGCCGTTTTTATTTACAGATGATTGATAGCTGAAGAGTCCCCCTGTCTAGCATGTTATGTAATCTTTCAGAGAAGTATATTTTGTGTATTTGTTTCTTTATGACCTGAAATATTTTGTTGGAAACCGGAGCAGAGCTCTTATAATAATAATAATAAAGCCTTATTTTATTTCCATATCCTTAATGTTTCAAATGTTGTTAGTAGTGTTATTAGTAGCCTGTGGATATGGACCCCTCTTGGATAAAGGGGGGATATCCAACCGTTTTTAGATGACTTTATCTTTGCCAATAGTCTTCCTATTGTCTTTTTAGTCTGCCCACTCGTCTTTTTCCGGGTGGTCCCTTGCACTGTCCCTTGCGTGTCTGGACACTCCAGTGTCTCTTATTTTTACGTAATTGCTCTAAGAACGAAATAAACTCTTAAAATCTTTTCTAACTAATGATTTACACAAGTAATTTATGTCTGGGCCTAAGATATCTGCTTGTGGCCGACACACGCCATCAACTTTGTGGGTCCACGACATGCCGGATTCCGCACGACGTTTTTCTTAATCCTAATTCATATAAGCGAGTTTGAAATGTGCACATAGAAAATTATAACGAAATCCGTCCAATAATCGAACGGAACGAACGTTTCCTCTTGCGTATTTCATTTAGTTTCTTACCGCACACGAGTCCTTCCTCTACTCCTAGAAGTAAAGTACAGATGAATCTATCGAGCTGTTAATCCTCCAATGGTCAGTAAAAATAAAAAACAATTTATTTGTATCACAATTTAATGGACAAAACTGGTAATGCATAATTATATTTGCAAAACTTTACAATAGGTGCCGCTTTATTAAAAGTGCATTAGTGTAGTTCACACAATTATATAAATCATAATTTAAACAAATTCTATGGCACAATTTAATTGGTCTTGTGCCTAATATGTAGGCCATAGAAAAATACGCTCATATATATATACCTTTGTTTATATATGTTTAGTTTGAGGGTGTAATATACTTTTAAAATAAACGGAAAATTTCGCTGTTCACGACATATATGTAATAATCCTAAATTAGCGTTTATATTCGTGAACTTTTTAATTAATAATTAGACATTCTAGATTTAAGAGCGCCTTTTCCTTTAGCCCACGTTACAAAAATAAAGACGATATTATGGGTCGGATAACATACCAGTCAAACGTTACACAGATTAATATTTTTATTTAAAGACTAATGTAAGTAAATTATTGATCAAATCATGTCTCTTATTTATAAAAACTATACCGACACAAAGTTTTGACAAATCTTTAAGCTCCATTAAGAGAGAGTGCTTTATGATTAGTTTTCATACATTAGAGGTTTATCTAAGTAAATAATTTGTTTTGAATAATATATATTGATAAATAAACATCTTTAGCATACACTTAATTCTATTATATTAAGGTAATAATTTGAAAGTGCAATAGAAATGTGAAATGGCCGCTAGGATTGGTTATAACTTCTCGATTTCTGTATATAAAGGTGCTTTAGACTTTGGAGTATTTAATAGTACTTATATAAAAAATAACTGAAAAGCTCGATACGATTATAAAAAGCTGTAATAGGCTTTGATAGTATACAAATAATGTCAAGAGTAATCTTTATAAAACCCGGCTTTATTATAAAGTAACATAACTTGTAAAAACTTAAAATCCCATAAATAAAGATATTGATTATTATTATAGGTGCCGGTAGACTCCGAGAGCGACCCCGAACCCAGTAGAGCCTTCCTTAAAGCTAATTTTACATTATATATGTGATGTGAAATATATATATATATATATGTGAATGTTTATAATAATTGAACTTTTGAAGATTTTTCCGCATATAGGGGCCAATTCAAGTAATACGTAAGAATTAGTACGCTCTTTTCTTTAAGGTTCTACAATAGTAGTGCGCGGTAAAAACTGCCTTAAAACGCTCAGTTGTGGAACGACGGACGTCGAGGTGATACAGGTGGAATTTCGCATTCTGCCTCCTCGTCTAACGATGAAACTCTTTTAGAGAATTAATCCGAACAATTTCTCTAACTAATCTGTTTTTTGGATAGTTTTTGGATATTTTTTATATTTACTATTAAATTCACTTTATATTAAAAAAATATATTTTCCAAGTGAAATTATACATGTATATATTAAAGTCTTAAATAGAGACATCTTTTTACAATCGTATCAGTTTAAATTATCTTCTTAACTATAAAGGGAATCTATATATAATATTTTACGAATAGTATTAATGCTACAATAATATTATAATTATCTTATTAATCATATTAGTGATATTTTTAGTTAGAGATCTATATATAAAATATATTATAGTACAGATATTTAAAGAAATATAAAAATTTAATCCCAAATACAAATGGTATAATATGTTCCAAAAAATAGAGAATCAAAAAAATATATGATAATCTTGCTAATAGGAGTAATTTATTTTTAATTCCTATATTTCATAATGTGTTTTTTCCTAACTGAAAACAGCATACGAAAATTAATAAAATATTTCTACGCTAAAAAACACGTATCCCTATCTTTTGGAACACCGTAATTTGTTTCAAACTTCAAAGTATCATTGTTCCCATTAGTTTTATTATAAAAATAATCTTTTGAATAAAAATTCTAACTATAAATTGACTAGATTGATTATAATTGGCACCAATTAATTAACAGAAAAAAAATTATCTAACATTATAAAAAATGCAAGCCGAATTTTCGATGCTACGCGAATGCAAAGAGAAATTACGACTACGTTTAAATGTAGGAGAAAATCGAAATAGGCAGTCATATCATCTATTTGCACCTATATCTAAGAAAATCCAGTGCTGCTACAACACTATGCACTCCTGGCTTAGACGACGAATAGCGCTGGTCCAGCGCCGGTGCTCTTAATCCTAATAGCGATCACGTATTCACTAGTAATAGTTCTTTCAATATCCGTAGCGCTGATAAAGTAACCGCGGAGGTTGTATTCTCTTCTTTAATCATTTTAAAGACTACTAGCCTTCTTAGGCTTAAGTGGAAATGGGTGGGCAAGAGGAACATAAAAGTGGAGCAAGAAAGTACTGGTGGAAAAGGTACAATAAACGGAAAGAGGAAGACAATTTAGAAGGTGGATAGACGGTTAATGAAACAGAGAGTGGCGCAGTGCAGGAATGGCGGGATTTGGAAGAGGCCTCTGCCAAAAAGGGGAACACAGATATTTACAGATTTATATGTGTTTTCCTTTTTGGAAGTGAAATAAAAGGCTGTTATTATTATAATCAGCCTTCCACCTAGAACCATCAATGTTAATTAAAAAATCCATTGACTCACCATAGTACGACCCGTGGTAGACAATCGATCATACCCGTTGGTATGACCAAATTAAGACACTTATGGCTCTCAAAATCCCTAATGCACTGACAGAAGCTGAGGATAGAGTGGTGTGGATGAATTAAGTCGACGTATCGGTTAGGATTCAAGGCAGGCACTGCCTTCAGTAATGAAGGATACGAAAAAGAAGATACTTTAACTGATCCCAAGTTTACACCGTCAGCGGTACGGTTTTGCAAGAACTGCTTAGTGGATACAGAGCAATGTTAACGTCAGATGACAAACTTGTGGCTACAATCTACTCGCATCTGCCAAGGAACTGCAGCGTAATCTAGCTATCATTAACGAATCTAGAATTGAACTAAATTATTATAATAATTAAGATTTTAAGTTGTTTATCCATTTTGAAATGAAGCAACCTAAGATAATGCTACCCCATTCTTTTTTAATTTTTTAATGTTTTACTATCTGGTACAAATATAGGGGCGATTGTTTTAATGATTTTATTTTTTTTAAGGCCTGGGCCTCAGATACCTGTATCTGTTTCATGATCATTGTCAATCTAATAGGCAAGTAGGTGATCAACCACCTGTGCTTGATACACGCCGAGTTTTAAGTCTAAGGCAAGCCGGTCTCCTCAGAATGTTTTCATTCAACGTCGAGTGAATGTTAAATGCGCACATAGAATAAAAGTCGATTGGTGCACAGTGTAATCTGCTACTTGTATAGCTTCAATCTTTTTATATGGGGCTAATATAGGTTATCTAATCATTAAAGCAAAGGGTAAAATCCATTCATAATTGATTATAATTGCATTTTCACTTCTGAACTTTCTATTTTCAACACAGCGTTTTTTTATAGAGAACGGGGCGTAAACCGGCAGGAAGCTCACCTGATGTAAAATGATACCCGACCCATGGGCACTCTCAATACTTGCGTTGCCGGACTTTTAAAAATTGGCCTTTTTTCTTTTCTCAGAAAACTTTTTTTCGCAAATGCGGTAGAAGATGCAGACTGACCCCACATCTCTACGCAACGCCAAAGGCTCTAGCCGCTCGGGAAGAGATTGGTTGTTGACGATTCGAACCACTCTTAGTTGAATAAGGTCAAGTGGAAGGAGCTTGTACTGGGGAGCGTAATTAGTTTCTGTTTTTATCATTAAAGGGGATAGTGTACCTAGTAGTTGCTTCATTTACCGTCATCGCTCACATATCACTTTCTAACAGGCCGGGTCGTCGTTCAATAAGCGCAATTTCCTCCGGCTCCCTCGAACTGCCGTGTCCATTTCCAGCGTTGTAGTCGTCGTTCATTCTCAGTAATTCGATTTCAACACCAATTTCGTCTTTATCGACCGCTGTCCTGCTGGGATAGCGGTCTAGCTCTTGTCAGGTGGCCTGTATTTCAGCCAGCACGTGGTCCTCCTCGTGCAGATTCTTATCCGCAAGTCTGAAGCTCTCCAAAAACTCGTTGAGATCAACCAAACCGTCCTTATTGATGTCCATTAAGCGGCAGATGTCGACCAGCTGCTCTTGGGTTAATGGATTTGGCATGTATTTTCCGATCAGTTGGCATGCCTCGGAAAATTCTTCCAGCGTTATGTAGCCTGTTAAAAAGATATATGTACGTAAGAATGTGCAATAAAATCAAACAAAAGCTTTATGCAATGAAAGCGTTAAAATAAGTGTGTTTAGTTTAAAAGATTTGGGTTGATACGATTTCCAATAAGAAAGGAGCTTATACCATTAATCAACCGTCATGATCGTAGAACAATGTCGGATTTGAAAAAAATCCCAAATCCGCTTTTTATCATATTTGGATAATGTTGACTAAATATTAATTAATTTACCCGTTAAAAAAAATCCACGTGTTTTAAATTTCAAATTAATCAGTCGGTAAAGTGACGGATTTGATAGAAAAATGTGATTTTTCTAGAAAACTGTATAATTCAATGTTATTATTTCTTATTTTGTTATAAAACAAACCCTTTTGTTTGCTTGTACGCCAATTTTCATAATAGAATATGAATTAAAATAGTGACAAAAACTAACATGATTATATTTTTTGAAATGGCTGCCTTGTAAAGTTTACTATTTGTCAGATCCGTCACTATTCTACGACTATGACGACAGAAACGTTGAACAATTTCCCTAGAATACAGAGCCAAATATAAAAAAAACCCTAATGTACCCCAAATATAAAAACTACATTAATCCCCTCTATAACGCGAGAGACGCGACCGCGTTATAGGAAATCGCGTTGTAGGAGTATTCTCGTAAATCTGTTTTTAAACAATTCAAAAACTTAGCAACACTTTGTTATAACAACATAATTGAAGCAAATCGCCAAACTAATTTATGGACTTGACAAATTTTTATAAATTTCGCACTACAGAAATATAACTTGTGAAATATTCGCGTTATAGGGCGGAAATACCGCGTTATATGGGACCGAAAAGCGTTATACGGAAACGCGTTATATAGGGGATTACTGTATATTTAGAATTTCGCTAAAGGAACAAAACAAAATTTCTCTCCGCAGTAAATAAATTATCCGCCCCATTTTATTAAATCAAATCGACACGGATCTCCACTTGATGTCAATTTCTGTCGGCTCCGCAATAAAACGACAGAAAACACTTAACTCAATATTGTTAGAAACTTTTAAAGCATTTATTTTGTAACTGGATTGTGAAAAGAAGGTTAGGTCATCTTCTATAAATGATCTTTTAAAATTATTATGATTAGATTTTTTTTAATGGACAATTCACACCAACCTAGTCCCATGCTAAGCTGGTGAAGCTTGTGATATGGGTACTAGGCAACGGATATACATACATATTATAGAAAGATAGACATATAAATACATATTTAAACTCCCAAGACCTAAGCACAACACCAAATGCTCATCACATCGATGTTTGTCTCAGCCGGGGATCGAACCCGGGACCCATGGATACGCAGTCAGGGGTACTAACCACTAGACCAATGAGCCATCAAATTTAATTGAATTGTTTTAGTCTGGGAGTGAAATAAACAGGAACGGCGTGTTTTGTTTGTTGTTTGTTTACTTAAAGGGAAGAATACATCTAGAAGTATAAAATATATAGACCAGTGCAGATAGCCTTCAAAATAAATAAAAAGTGAAAAAAATTACAGAAGGATGAAACCCATTAGAAAAGCAGGGGAATATGATCAAAATAATAGGAAAAATAAATTACGGTCGATCTGAGGTCGGGAAGGGGAAGGGGGGAGTTTTAAGGGTAAAAAACGGTTTATCTCGATTTCCGGCAAAACTAAAAGTCCTATCGAAGAAAGTTAAATGGCAAAGTTGTAGGTAATAAAAAGATCTAAAACTTTTGTATTCACACATTTTTCACATAACCTCAAAATTTATGTGAAAAATTCAAAAAACCAAGTTCTTGGTTTTTAATTTTTATCTTTTATAAATTTCTTTTTTTTTAACGAAATTTGGTGAAAACTTACCTTATTATGTCCCAAATATACTGTAATTTATTTGATTAAAAATATTTATTTTTTCACCTTATTTTGAATTAATATCGAAAAAACACCCTAATTTTCAATCGAAAATTCTGACGTCAAAATTTCAGCTTTTTTCAAAAAGTTGGTGTGCTTTCAGTTTTTTGAAATCTCTACTTTCCTATGGTAAAATAATATATATATATATTACCATAGTAAATCTTCTCAGAAAATGCAAAACATCGTATGCAGTAACGCCCAGACCCGTCATACCCTTCCCTCAAGTTTTCACCAAATTTCGTTAAAAAAAAAGAAATTTATAAAAGATAAAAATTAAAAACCAAAAACTTGGTTTTTTGAATTTTTCACATAAATTTTGAGGTTATGTGAAAAATGTGTGAATACAAAAGTTTTAGATCTTTTTATTACCTACAACTTTGCCATTTTACTTTCTTCGATAGGACTTTTAGTTTTGCCGGAAATCGAGATAAACCGTTTTTTACCCTTAAAACTCCCCCCACCCTTCCCGACCTCAGATCGACCGTAATTTATTTTTCCTTTCATTTTGATCATATTCCCCTGCTTTTCTAATGGGTTTCATCCTACTGTAATTTTTTTTGGTTTCAAAAATTATCGGCACTGGTCTAATAGTACTAATAAACGACTGATCCTATTTTGATGATAGCTATTCCCTTGGTTGATGTAATTCAAATTAATCATATAGATATTTAGTTTTATTAGAAATTTGTAGACAAACACATGACCATACTCAAATATCAAATTCAGTGAAAGCAATAATTTCCTTTGATTTAAACTATGTAGACTTTTTAGCAACACAACGTGCCGATTTCTGGGTCATGTTATTTACGTTTTCATTAAACCTACGGCCTTTGTGGAACCTTTGACCCCAGGGTTCATAGTAGCCGATAATCATCTGTAATTTCATATCACAAAAAGTTACAAGTTGTCAATTGATTTCCTGTTAACCAAACAAAACATGCCAGTTTAAAAATTTCCACTAAAAGCCTCAACAAAAATATGTACACTAGTAACTGAGTTTTGGATCTTACCTGAGTTATCTTTGTCCAAAATCTTGAATATTGTTTCCAGACTTTGCTTGTTCTTATAAAGAGTTTCGGCGACTGTTTGCGTATCAGATTTGCGACCGAATTTCTGAAATAGAGACATTCTATCCTTAATTATATTAAGGGATTTTTTTATGTATTTTAACTTAAGGCTATCAAAGAAGACGGTAGATCGATATAGGCGGGGGCATAGTGATGTGCGACTCTCATAACTACAAAGGACCATTCAATAGGCCAGAAAAACGACGGTCTGTGTCGGGCACAGATGTCAAGACCAGAGAGACTGATACGTAGTCTGAGATTAATTAAAAATAACAAGGGTTCTACACTTGATTTTTATTGTAGCCTTTTCACGTTGACGGAAAATGGAAAAAATAAACTAAACTAAATTTCAAATATTATCAAGATCATGCAATGAAACTTTCCAAAAACAATCGTTATATATTACATCTGACTCTAAGATATATACAGTTTATATACACAAAAGAAGGGAACAAATTTTCAATTCAAATATCAAAACAATATTCAAATTCTAATGATTTTTGATAAAAAGCTTTGTTAGGAAATCCCAATTTTCGCTCTCTCCGGGTATCAGGCATTTGTATTATTGGGTGAAATGGAAAAATGTCCAATTGAAACGAACCATATAAAATAAAATTAATCATTGTTATAAATAATGAGCTAACCATTACAATTTAACGTTTATTTGCTCGAAAGAAATTTATTTATTCCACATCATTATTCTATCTTAACCTTAATTAATGCAATTTCCCCGTACTAGACTATCTAAAGTTAGTAATTCTTTTTTGGGAAAAGGGATACTCTTCTTTAATAAAAGCTCAGAGGCTCTTTTATCTCTGCCTTTTAATAAATTTAAGAAATGTATTAAAGAAAAGCTGTGTAAAAAGGTTTTGATATCATGAGTAAATACTTACATTAGCAGACAAATCAAATGTGTCCATGTATCTCACTCGCCTTGTCTCTGGATCGGTGCGCACAAGTTTATCTTTCAACATCCGCCACGGAAGTCCTAAATGCGTTGTCTGCTCCATTGCGGTGCACCAGTCGCTTATGGTTATGAAACCTATCAAAAATGAATTAATATTAGGAAATAAATGTGACAATAATACGGGCTACTGGATTGTGAGGAAGTTCTCATGTCATTTTCACACGTGTATAATGTTTATCATTTATATAACATACTTTCATAAGTGTTTGATTGTCCTTATTTTAACATATGATTTTTGAGAGCATAAATAAAATTAAACATATGATTTTTGAGAGCATAAATAAAATTAAACTAAAGAAAAACTATTTATTCAACCCCATCACATTTTATTTCACATTAACTAAAAGACAGGTATGACATTTATTACTAACGAAACACACACACAGAAACACACAAAATAATAATAATAATAATAAAAGAAAAATAACAAAGAATTATGGAAAGAAAAAAAGAAATAAGGTACATTTTAAGTGTGTAATGTGTGTGTGTGTTGTGGGAGTAAATGACCCTGGCTCAGCATTATGCTGTGGAGCAGACGTGTTCGACAGCGCTAGTCATTTTGCCAGAGACCACTACAGTTCGCAAACTAACTAACCTTAGACGCAAAAAAATAATGTAATTATAATTTTAGTAGAAAAAAAGAAATTAGATAAGATTTCTGTATCTGTTTCATGATCATTGGTCAATCTAATAGCAAGTGATCAGCCTTCTTTGTTGACAAGCCGTCAAGTTTTTCGGTATAAGGCAAGTCGATTTCCTCTCGATGTTTTCCCTTCACCGTTCGAGCGAATGTTAAATGCGCACAGCCGGGGATCGAACTTACGACATCAGGGATGCGAGTTGCACGCGGAAGCCACTAGCCCAACACTCTAATACTATATCATAACTGTTTTAAAATACACCCAAATATTCTTTATTCTAATAAAGATACAACATTTTAATTTACTCGCCAACAAAGGTTGAACGTTACATAATCATAGACATTGTAGTTTTTAATTCTCTTACCTATTCTTTAAGTAAAAAGTTTCATAGAACGCATTGTTAAATTCTGTTCTATTTATATTATAAAGCTCAAAGATAACTGGTAACAAATAATTATTAACAAACAACAAGAATTGTTTACATACCAACTAGTCTGTATTTTATCGTTTGTAATAATTAATTAATTCCGGAAATAAGGAATCTGTTCTAATGCTAAAAATACTTTTCTAGTTTGGAATTTTTCCTAGAAAATCTAAAGCTAATTGCAGGCAGTCGTGGCATAAGAGTATGAACACAGAAAGAGAGTGAATAAAAAACTATAAACTTTAGTTGGAGTTATATTGGTGATCAAAATAGTGGGTGTTTTGTTAATCATTTCAAAGTAGTTTTATTCATTCAATGTCTGTCTGTCAATCTGTTTTGGCTTTCTGTACTGTCTAAGTATTTGTTTTATGATATTATGTATGTTAGCTGTAAGATTACTTATAATTAAATAAATAAATAAATGTAAGTATGCATTGGAATGTGCTGGACACACAGGGTAGAAAAGACCACCAGGGAAATGAGAGAGGTCGCAAAACAGGGCTCTTGCACAGTAGACTGACGAGCTCAAAGAAGTTGGTGAAAAAGACTGGGAGAAAAGTGCTCAAGATAGAGAGATATGGAGCCAGTTGGAGGAGGCCTATACTTTTTAAGAGGAAAAAAACTATAAATATGGATGGATGTTTCAAGGATTTAATAAATATTATTGTTACAATGTGTAAGATTTGGGAACCCTTTAATACAATGTATTCCAACGTGGGGCCCACTCCCCACAGGGGGGGCCTAATTAATTAATTGGATTATTAAGGGGGGCTATTCGAAAATTTCTTAAAATTATTTGGATTTGAATTTCAGTTTCATTATGTTTTGAAAAATGACTTACTGTGTCCTATAAACCTATCATTTAAGAAGAGAGTGAGTAAGAGTTTCTTAAGTGAACAATTCAATTTTTTTATACTGAAAATTATTTATTTGAAGGAATAAGAATTTTAGAAACACTGCTTTAATTAGAAAGTTTTTAATGAGTTATAATCCATTGCAAGCATAAAAGATATCAAAGAGTGGATCGTAGCTTCATTTCATTCATAAAATTAAGGCAAAAATTTAGCCTAATCTACATAAGCTCTCTTCAAGTTAAATTCATAATATTCACGGATACTCTTATTAATGATAGCGTAATCCTTTGTCCTAAAGTTGATAAATGTTACAGAAATTTATTAAATAACGCGTGGGAGTGACAATTTAGATCGCCCCCATCACTGAAGGGCATTTGAAATTCAAAAGATCCACTTTGCGAGGACTTATCGCCCACCTTAAAATACAATTTATAAACTTAGATCGTTAGTAGCGATATTTTCTTCAAGATTATTTTAAGATTTTTTGTTTTTAAATTTGCGTCTTCGTACGTTAGGGTAATAGCGGCATTATGGTTGTCAGATCAAAACTTTGTGTTCAGATTTCATTTGAACATTGACTAACTGCTGACACGGTTCTATACTTTAATAGCTTTACACCGACGGCACTAAAAAGGCGAAACAGACGAATGTGTCAACTGAGACAACTCGCTGACAATCTTATCTTTGTATGTTGCCAAAAGCGCCTGAGCTTTTTTGAGTCCGCACGTAAAGGTCCCGGAAAAATTATGATGACCGGTAGACCGGGCATCGTGTGAAATATTGTTGACATACAAAAAGTTAAGTATGCCGGAAGAAGCAGTAATAAAACTTCTCTTAAAATACACAACACAACCACTTGAAACGTACTAGCGTTTGAGTGCAATACTTAATAGGGTAATTAGATCTGAGTGGATTAACAACGATGAATATAACGAGGATGAAAATTATTGCAATTTCTAAAAAGTTTCAGATTTGAATTGAAAATAACGTTGCTATTTACAAAATAAATAATAGTAACATTTTTACAGTGTAATAATTAAACAAAGTTCGTAATGTGAAAAAACGTTCTTGCGTATTGTAAGTAATTTTGATTCATAAATTATATTTTTTTTATATAACAGGAGGCAAACCAGCAGAAAGCTCAGCTGGTATTAAGTGATACCGCCGCCCATGGGCACTCGCGTTGTTAGAAGGTTTCGAAGTGCGTTGCCGGCCTTCAAAGAATTGCTATTGAAAGACCCTAAGTATTTAAAAAATACCGTGACTTCGTCCGCGCAAGACTCAAGTAGTCTATTTTCTTTAAAAAAAACATGTATTTAAAAAATAAATAAAATTCTATACGACATAATATATGCTGTCGCTTTCTTTAAACAATTTAAGATATACATAAGTTAACTGTCTTGTTATTCAATTAAGGAAGAAATCCCAATAAGTGTCAATAAACTATTGAAGATTGTTATAAAAATATTTCTTTTTCGTTTAGCATAGTTCAATAACAATCAACCTATATTTATGTTAAAGTTAATTAATATTAAGTTAAAACACCTCGACGAACTGTAATTTAGTATAAATTGAACTTAAAATCAAAATAATCAAGAGTTAATAAAACTTAAGACATACCACAATTCTCCGGATCCATACTTCGGAAGGTACCCTCCAACTGCCGTCGTGCCATCACTATATGACTATGAAGCTCCCGCATAGCCGAGGATTCCACAAGTCCAACCCTCTGCCTAAATGTCAACCGTCGTGTGCGCGATACAGCCGCGGTGTATTGCACGAATTGTCGCTCCAAAGAATTGCCGCATAGCTTTAAATATGCGCCCTTGTTTGAACCTATCTCGTAATAGTTCGATGCTGAGAATATTGTTATTACCTGCAACAAATTATATTCTATAGGTCTGTCTTTGTGCCCAATTGTTACACTAAACCAATGCCACTGTGCCCAATTGTTAAACTAAACCAATGCCACTTTGTGCCCAATTTTTAAACTAAACTAATGCCACTTTGTGCCCAACTGTTAAACTAAACCAATGTCACTTTGTGCCCGATTGTTAAACTAAACCAATGTCACTTTGTGCCCAATTGTTAAACTAAACCAATGTCACTTTGTGCCCGATTGTTAAACTAAACCAATGTCACTTTGTGCCCAATTGTTAAACTAAACCAATGCCACTTTGTACCCGATTGTCAAACTAAACCAATGTCACTTTGTGCCCAATTGTTAAACTAAACCAATGCCACATATTGCAGATGAGCAGATGACTCCACAATAGTAGTGGTACACGGTAAATACTACATTGAAAACGCTTAAAAACTCCTTGAAAATCTACCCGAATTAGCTTTGTTTGACTAAAGTTTTGAGAGAGTTAAATAACGTGAGTGCCTCTGTGCTTAGGAATAACTTAAAAGTTAGAACCAGACAACAATAACGCAAACTAAATCTATTTTGTTGCGGGAATTGCATTTTAAAATAACTTATCTGACCTATTATTTTTTGAGGTAAAGATGAAATGTTTTTTATATCGATACCTCCTAAGTATACTGAGTCATCTAACAAATTTAGGTATTTTGTTTTTTTATACAAAAGTACATAATAAACCATGATCTTAATGTTAGTGTTATTTTTTTTTTTAAAAAGACCTATAATCACCGAGATAATTTCACGTATACTAAATCAATTTCAACATCAGTTAAAATCGTACATTGTATACTGATCCAAATAACATTGTATCAGTGTTCGCGGGGCGTAAGGAGGGACGCATTGATACAAGTTTATTATGGCTCAGTATACGACAAATGACGGCGAGGGCGCGAAATTTTTTTAATTTTCTCAATAATAAGGTGAATAATACTAATGATACAATTAGCAATATCTCAGGAATCGGTGATATAATGCAAAACAGGGCTGAATATGGTAAGTTACATTGATATACTTTATTTATGTTACATATAGTGTGATTTTGCCATTTTTGTTTGATAATTGTTACACGTCGCTTAGTACGCCGTATACTGATACAACTATATTTAAACCTGTTTACAACGAACAAACTTTATAAAGAAGACACTTGACTTATCTGGCTATAATAATGTACTAATTAAATTTTTGATATATTTGTTTTAATTGTGGTATAATATATTTTTTTATGTGTTATAAATTTTATATCTTGATATTGGCACGTTAAATATAAAAATATGAATTCTTGTGTTTTTAATTGTTGTTTGTTTTAGAGTCTCCATTGCCACCGGATGCAAATTGCTAATTTATGGAAGATTTATGGAAGATGCAAATTGCAAAAAAAAATTGCAAATTTATGGAAGAGGAGCTATCAATACTTGATGATATTGATTAGAATGATAGCAAGGAAGTATCGCAGAATATCCCTTCTAATGCTTACATATTATTCCTAGATTATATTATTCTTTGCTCTTCGCCTTGGGTATCGATTGTTGATAACTGAACTCAAAAAGGAGATCGATCGCCATCAGTCATAGAGAACACTCCAGGTAATTCGCCCATCCAGAATAGCATTATAGAAAATTATTGTGATATTACTCCAGTACCATCGCCGTATAATTCTTTTGACTCATCTCCTGTTAATTTCTGACATTAATGATATCACATACTCATCGTCCAATAACGCCAAAAGCGCATTTCCATTGCGAAAAAAGATAAAGAAAGGCTAAGAGTTTTCATAAAAATGTATGGATAAGGAGAGGAAATATAAGCTTAATAGAGGATTGGAATATGTCAGTAGAAACGGAAGAGTTCATGCTACGAGAATTATGAAAACTTCTTGCCCCTCAACTTATGGAAAAAATGCAGTGAGAAATTAACAGAATGTTTTGGATTATTGGACCACTCAAGACAATGGGTTTTTTGGCAAGATATGCTGTAAAAGCTGGAAAAAAAGAGAAAAAATATTGTCGATAAAAAAGGAGTGAAGGAGATAATATTGAGACCACAAAAATATCGGTTTGCAAAACTATGTTCTTGAGAACTCTTTCTATTAGTTTTGATTTTGCTTATACAGCTTTAGAAAAGTCCGATAAAGGTAATGGATTTATTAAATCAGATCAGCGTGGTCTTTGGATGAACATATTATAATCCATCCGATGACGTTCACAGTGTTATAGATCACGTTGAAGCATTTTCTCCTGTAGAGTCACATTACACTCGCCAAAAATCAAGTAAAAATTATCTGGAAGGCTTTTTATCCTTCCCAAAACTGTTCATGAATCGAATGGTTTATGGACTACCGTGAGACAATATCGAGATATCTATATATAGGTTTTATAAACCCAAAAAAGATTTTTGTGAACAATGTCACATTTATGAAAATAACAAGCAAGTTCTACAGACAGATAAAGAAAAGCATGAAGAGCATTTTAAAAAAGAGAAAGCTAGAAAAATTAAAACAAAAGATAAAAAATCAGCGTTACAAAATAATGAAATCCTTACATCAGCATCTGATCTTCAAAAGTGTCTTAATGTATGTACCTCACGAGAGCGTGAGTACTTTTTATTATAAACGGAAACATTATTTGTATAATTTCACGATATTCATTCTGGGATCTCGCCAAGGTGATTGCTTTTGATGGTATCAACAGACAGCAAAGAGAGGTGCAATTGAAATTTCCAACTATCATTTTAAGTTTATAGAAGATACGGGTGGTGAAGGTGTCAATGATTACCGGTTTTAGTCAGACAACTGTGGAGGCCAACATAGAAATAGGATTTATTTCTTAATGTATATGTTAGGTAGTTTAAAGTGTAGTATAGCTATTAGCCATCGCTTTCTAATAGTGGGTCATTCACAAAGTGAAGGCGACAGTATGCACGCTTTAATTGAAAGACGGACAAAGATAAAAAGCTTTATATGCCTGATCAATGATATACAGCTTTTAGATACATACACAGTTATTGAAGTGTCTCAGGATTTAATAAAGGACTTCAAATCAAAGTCAAAACTTATAAACAACTGGACAACTACTAATGATGGATCTATCTATCTATCTAAATAACTCTAATGGAGCAGAAGATAGTGATTCAGACTGATTTTTGATTCTTTCAACCTTTAATATTTTTATTTATTTTGTTTAACCTTATAGAAATTTTTTGAGCGTTAGAATTTCCTAGATTTTTAGATATTTATATTATTCATATCTATTATTTTTATTAATATTGTTTAACGTAAGTTACCATTTTTAGTTTCTATTATTTTTATTGATGTTTGTTACTTTTCAAGAAACTTTCATGATACAAAAACGGGTCGGATACAAAAACTACAAAAACGGGTCCTACTTAGTATAAACGAAAAATACATTGTGATTCTTTAAATGTGTTGTTTTGTTAAATGAGACTACTTCTTCCTAACCTTTATTAATTTCGTGAGGTATTCGAAATACCTAAAATGAGTAGTTAAAAAGCCTCGATTAATTATATTAGTCCAGTATACGTTGAGGTTTTAACTACTAACATAGGTAAGTACTTTCCTAGTATAATGAGTCAAGTGATGTAATTTCAACATTTTATTATTAAGTGGGACAAAAAAAATCGAAAATAACCAAAAGTAGTATGATATTAATAAAATGATTATCATATTTCGTAATATTTTCGAGTAAGTCATGGATTTTCATGTACAACGTACATGAATATAACTGGTAGTTAAACCATTTTACTATTCAGGCCCGCCCGTGTATAATGAGTCATGTACATAAAATATCATTTAAAAACAAAATTCAGCAAAATCATGTTATACCAAAGGAAGAGCTTTCAATCTTTATTAAAAAAACATTTAATTTATTCCGAATTAGTTTGATTTCATTAAAATATAAACAATTTGCCTTAAAATGGCTCTCCTATAAAATTACTAAAATGTCAGTTGACTCAGTATACTTAGGAGGTATCGATATAACCCCGTAAAAAAGAAAAAAATATACAGTATGTCTCTTTCAGAAAAATTGTGTTAACAGTGTGATTAAACACATTGGTTATTTTTAAATAAATAATAAATAATAAATAAATGGTTGAGACAATAAGTAAACCGTAATCCTTTTTCGGCATTCTCTTCAACCCATATCTTGTAGATATATATTATCTTTACGTAAGTCCTACAACAATATTCCATTACCAGTACTAAATTATTTAAATTCTGTTCCACACAGCGAAACTTACACATTTATTAAAGGCACATGGGCTCCTGACCTTTCCCTTATAACTTGATTAGGGTGACTTGCTTTTCATTCTATATAATATTGTGCGAAGGAAATGAAACAGACACATCAGACTATGTAGTTGTTTAATAAAGACGACAAGATAGAATACAAATGTCCATCGTTTAATCAAAGACAAATCAAAGTTCATCTTTGTGGAACAAATTATATTGTGTTAGTTCTATACGGTATCAGTTAAATAGTTTAATAAATGTAAATAAGCTGTTAAGTCGTTGAGTTGCAATAAATGAAGTGAAGAGAGAAGACGTGTTTATCTTTAATTTAATATTATTGTGGTAGTTATTGAAAATGGAACCATAAGTGATCGAACATTTGGTCCTTCGAGCCGGATAAAGTGTTTATGCATTGATTTGTCATTTTTTGCATAGTCAGAGATTATGTAACAAAATAACACGATGTCATTTGTTTTATTAGAATGACAACACAGACATCATAGACATATTACAGGTTGTAAGAAGTCAATGTGTCAAAGTCAATTTCTCAGTAGTACGTAGAATCGATCGGTGAGTTCGATTGCTCTCTAGTTTCTGCGACATATATAAAAACAGTAGCGCTATAACCCTCTAGCTCTGGGCTTCTGTCTGTATCTGTTATGTGATCATTTGTTTTTCTCAAATAGGCACGTATGCGATCAGTCTTTTGTGCCTGACAATGATAAATGATAAAGTCCACATTACAGGTCTAAGGGTGAGATCTATAGTGCGCACTTAGACTTTGCTCTGACTTAACTATCGAGCTAAGACACAGTCGGTATTTATAGAGCAAACTGCGAATCTCTCCCTAGTGTTGGCTTAGCTTAATCTCAAGTCCACGAAATCGACGACTTACCAAAAACTTTGACTATAAGCCTAACAAAAATAATGGCCCAAAATTTGCTTTACCATCATATCTTTTACTGGACTTTTTATTTTTGTCGGTTTTTAATGAACGGTGTTGCCATTTTGTATCGGAGTTCCATAGACTTTGGGAAAAATAGAATTTGAATTCAAAGAAATTATAAATGATCTTGATAAATACCTATGAAATGCATGAAATAAAATAATTACACATTATTATGGTATTTATTGTTGTTTATTTATATTATTTATGTAATTGTTCAAACCCCATTTTTGAGAAATCTTAAAAATAACTGGTGTGATTTTGTATGTCACCTGGCAGCCCTGGCATATTATAGTGACGACGAAATTCAAACTATAACCTAACCGATGTCTCTCGCTTCACATCTGTTATTTTCGTTTCCCTGAATCTTCTACCATTTATTACCTGACTACCCTAAAAAATTTGAGATAGGAGTGGAACATATGAAATTAAAAAATCTGTTAGAAATAGAATTTCTTCAACAAAAATATAAATTAGTATTAGAAATATGTATTACACTTAAAAAAAAAATCAGAAAATAAATGATTAAAATGAAACAAGTTTTGTTTTTATATTCTTTATTACCAAACAAATTACCTAGTTAAATTGTGCAATCACAGATTGCCGGAATGCTAGACCTGTAGGAGATCTTTCATTGTTTCTGTGCTACTCAACTTCTGCTGTCAGCAAGATCACCATCATCATAAGCATCGCCTTTCTGTATACCTATATTATGCAATACAGCACAAGCTATAATTATATATAACTAGTATTTGTCAATTTTGACTGTAGTCCTAGCTGTAAACATGGAAATTTCCTTTTTCACACTCCGAAAAACCTTTAAAAAATATGCCTAGTTCTTATTTGAGAATAATTATAAATATTGTCAGCTCTTGTCATTGGATTTAAAAGTGTTGTTAACATGAAGTTAAGTGCTGGATAACCGCTGTCACCTACTAAAACAGGCATTTTCTAAATATCCTGCTGTCGTGTGAACTGCCAGGCCACCTAGTCACTATAGCAAATATTTCCATATCAGGCCCTATTATTGCTGGCACATTTACAGAAAAATACCCTTTTTTATTTCTGTATGCTTCAGAGTGAGCGATACCTTTGGGTCTATTAATTTTTATATGGGTGCAGTCAATAGCTCCGATTATACTGTTTAGGCCATGGTGAGTATTAGATCTTCCTAATTCTTCAAACTTCGTTTTGGCTGTGTTCATATTTCTTGGAAAATTTACAAATCTAGGAAGAAATTTACTCAACTCTGCAGAGACTTTATTTATAATTAAACAGACTGTAGATTGGCTTATGCTGTTCAGATCACCACACACCATCTGTAATGTCAATAAATTATTATTAGTCACATATATGTTATGTTTCTGAAAGTCAGAAGACAAAAGTCTTCAACATATGTACTATTTAAAATCATTTGAGAAGAGGTATAATATATCAAATTGAAAAACCATACATATTTATGAACACAATATTACCTGAAAACATCCAGTTTCATTTTTATGCCTTAATGCAATAAGTTTTTGCAATTGCGGTAGGTTTGGCGATCCTCTGTTGTTATAAAGTTGCAAGTTTGTAATGATCAGCGTCAGGATCACATTTAATACCGTGTGTTTCAAAATACGGTTCCTTCTTTTGAATTCATTCTCACCGTACAGGATGGAAGGATTTTGGTTTTATTAGTTCCGAACATATACAACACTTTAGGCATTCGTGGATTCATATCGGCTGCAGTTCCTACCCTTTCAATGTTTTCTATTGAAGATAGAACTCTCTCTCTCTCCATCATGTCACTTTCGATATTGATATTTCCAAGCGGTCCATGTAACAAAGCCAAATCACAAAACGTCACAGTGCTTCGGGAATGCGTAGGTCTTAAGTAGGTATACGATCCAGATTGGTCCAGGTCCAAGTCACAAAGCCAGTCGTTTTTTTGAAGAAAGTTAAATTTAATATTTATAAGCTCATACAAACAGAAACAGAAAAGAGAAAAAGTGGTTTAAAATTTTCAATTGTTGATACAAGTGCTCTGTTGCTGTTGTCAAAACATTGCGATCCGTTCTACGTAATAAAATTATTGTCATCTTTAAATAATTAATACATTTTCTAAAGGTTACTCGTAAATTTCTAGTTATTGCAATAATAAAATAAATGAATACATAAATAACAATAAATTGAAGATATATGTGTACCGTTTTAGATGTTTAAATATTTGTTATTGTTTACTTTTTTAAAGGATAATAAACAAAGTATTGCATGAAATGAAACATCAATTTGTATTTTGACATTTTCTGTCTTAGCTTGGGCTTAGCTTAATCTCACCGTTAAAATGTCTATAAATACGAAATCATAGTTTAACCTTAGTGTACACTAAGCAAAGTTTTTCGTAAGGTAAGTCTGAGCAAAGTCCAAGTGCGCACTATAGATCTCACCCTAAGACATGTCGGTTACCTCGTGATGTTTTCCTTCTAGCAAGTGTTAAATGCGCACATAGACTTAAATACCATCTATTGGTCCAGCCGGAGGAGAAACTTACGACATCATAATGATATGGGTTGAGGAAAAGTCTCGTTATGGATAAACATCAATCTATTGTCAAATGTTACAGTATAAATCGCTTAGATTTCCTGTTTTGTCCGATAATGAATTAAAAATTCGCTTACGTTTCCATCGTGCAGCAACTCGTACCCTCCTGGCTTGCATTCGTGGCTCCGGACGATGAAGCTCAATTTATTCTTCTGCAGAAAACTGACCGTCACATCTGGACCGAAGTATGTCCCAGCACCGCGGAGAGCGTTGGCAACACACCCGCCCGTAGTTTGCGGATCCGACCACAAAATGTCGAACACCTAAAAGCCAAAACAAATATTAACTTGTGTATTTAGTTGGATTGATCCAATGTGTCCAAAAACCAACCTAAATCAATTTCTTATGTTTTTTTTCATCATTTTAGTCATCAGTATTATTAAGACAATCTATCGACATATTGATTAAGTACTACCGATATTTAAATGTATTATTTTTTTCTTAGAACCTGTTCTAGCAATGGCAAGCGGGCAGGAGGCTCATCTGATGTTAAGTGATACCGCCGCCAATGGACACTCTCAATGCCAGAGGGCTCGCGAGTGCGTTGCCGGTCTTTTAAGAATCGGTACGCTCTTTTCTTGAAGGACCCTAAGTCGAAGTCGAATTGGTTCGGGAAATACTTTAGTGGGCAGCTGGTTCCATATAGTGGTGGTGCGCAGCAAAAACTGCCTTAGAAACGCTTAGTTGTGGAACGGCGGACGTCGAGGTGATACGGGTGGAATTTCGTATTCTGCCTCGACGTTTTAAAAGGCACATTACTTAAGAAATTTTTAAATGGCTGATAAATAGAATAGTGTTTAGAAGTTTCTCTTAATGGGAATAATTATTTATCAATACTCATGCCTTTTAACCGAAAGGGTTCGCAAAGATGTACGTTCCTGAAACACCTTTCTCTAATACCTCCTAGAATTGGTCCAGGTGTGTCCGACGAGACCTACCCAACCCGTTCTACATGGCCTAAACACCCATTCCCTTTCGTATCCTTGTCGTTAAATCCTGAACCATAAAAATTATACCATAGATTTATGAAGCGCATTATAAAATGCGACTTGTTTATTTTAGGAAGGACTAAACATTTAAATAAAACCATAGACTTTGGAATTAGATTTGTTTTTTGTTATATACGAGTAATAACGACCATATAATATGTATATTTCTTTTTTTTGACGTTCATAAGTGTTACCTACAGTTACCTACATGAATAAAAAGATTTTTGTTTGTTTGTTTAGCACGTTTTTAAATATAATATAATGTTTTCTTTTAAATATACGTAGTAATATTATGGAATATCGAATCGCGTGACAGTTATAAGTATGCGTATCATATCAAAGTATTTTATGGATTAAGATAATTCGATGATAGGAGTATTACGTGAACTAGCATAATCGTACCACGCAAGACGTACAAAATTATGTCTAATATATATTCGCATTAATTATAATAAGGCAGGGAAGGAATTGCTAGTCACGAGAGTTGAAAAAAATCTTAGTAAGTAATTGCGTCTGCAGAAAACCTTTTTATCTTAGCCCCGGTTCACTTTAAGTACTATACAGGGTTATTGGTGATTCGGCGTATTCCCGTTAAGAGGTGATAGGGGGACTATTTGTGATAATTTAAATCCAAAAGAGAACTTTGGAGTTATCATGTTTTATTTTACCTTTTTTTCAAATTTATTGTTAAAAAGTATTAATTTAAATAATTTTTCTTCTGACTTATGAAAACGATTAAACACTGGTTATTTATTACAACGATAATTACAATAATTTATTAAGTTAGCCTGCATGACTTTAAATTATTGCCCTTATAATGTTTAAGTTTTATTTACTGGCAATACTAATCATGACAGCGACGCTCTTACCGGCCAAGACGGTGTGGCACTGTACTACCCTTCAACCGCATTATACTGGAACTGGTTAAATATTAAAGAAGTCACCTTACATTTCAGTAGATCATAACGTTTCATATCAACAATCTTCCATCATACGCTCTCAGGCTATAAACGAAACTTTTTCATTTCAGTAATGTCCGTTATCAAAGTTTTTATGGTTCACTTCGCATTAAAGGCAATCGTATCTCAAATATACGAGAGAGGAATTCAATATGATTTTCTTAAATAATCCACTATTTCACGCTTCATGTTTGCAATCATCTTTTGTATTATATTTGGAGAATACTCTAACTGAAATGGCCCATCAAAAGAGAAATGCTATTGCGTTCGTTTTAACGGCTAAATTTGTATTAAAATATGATTAGAGCGCTCTTACTCTCAAATTTGAGACTTAGAAGGACTTTCGAATGTCCTACTATAAACTTAAAACTTAGTCTTGAAGAGGAGGGGGACCCAAGTGTTTTCCAAGAACTCGGATTCTTTGTACCTATGGGATATGGGCGACACCGAAGGCCAAAGCAGTTTGCGATACCAAGGGCCAGAACCAGTCTGTTGCACAGATCACCGTTAACAAAGACGTTCCGCCTACTGAATATTGTTTATACATTTAATTAATACATAATGTATTTAATATTATATATTTTATTAGATTTTTTCCACATTTGGCTTAGTACTGTTAGGATAATTTATATATTTTTATAAATAAATAAATGTCAACAGTCTACTCCTCAACATAATGTTGAGCCAGGGCCAATAACAACCACAACACATGTTATTGTTATTATGTGTGTTTCTTTGTGTGTGTTTTGTTAGTAATAAATGTTATGTCTATCTCTGTGTCTGTGTCTATGTGTGTCTGTGTCTGTGTCTCTGTCTCTGTCTAAGGGCGCATGTAACATCGTTAGGAAACCGGCAAACCTTAGACCTTAAAAGTCGACGGAAGATTTTTTAAATATTAAATAATTAATAATAAATATTTAGCGTTAATAATTTAACAATATTTAATATTTAGTATATTATTCAATTATAATTAATATTAATTATTATTTATTATTTTATTATATTATTAATTCAATTTAATAATGAGGTATGTTTCATAACCTTTTAACTAAGTAACAATAGGTCTTTGTGAAAAAGCATTGCTAAATTTCTTTGAAAAAATAATTAAAACTCCTTTATTTGTTTAAAAGGTACTTATGTCATTATGGTCATTCAAAATTCTTGGCATAGCTACTAACGTCACGCATATTCTATTTCTTTTTACTTGTAGATTGTCTTATTCCCATCTCGCTCGCGCAAACTCGGCGCCCATACTGATCATTTTGTGTCTCGGTGCGCGCGCATCGTAAAATTTCACTCTCATAAATTTTTCATAACGCCTAAAGAAGTATAACTTCCATAATAAAAAAATTTAGGGTGGAAATCCCTTATGAATTAGGGATTTGAAAGATAGATAGTAGCCGATTCTCAGACTTACTCAATATGCATAAAAAATTTCATAAGAATCCGTCGAACCGTTTCGGAGGAGTATGGGAACGAACATTGTGACATGAGAATTTTATATATATTATATAGAGATTACAAATACTTCACATAAGTAAATGTAAGCACCCTTTGGGTGTCGCTCCAATTTCGTTTACTTCATAGAAAACGTTAATCAGCGTAAGTAATTATCGTATAATGACTTGATCACGCACCAAGTTTTTCTCTAAAAACATTTTCAAGTAAAACGAAGCAGTTAGCCTTGTTAACACTCGCTCATACAGTGAAGGAAATTGGTATGAAACCCAAAACGTCGATAGGTTGTGTCAAGGACAGAAGGCTGAACCTACTTAGAAAAAACGCTTTTTTTTTTAAGTGAAACTTCATTAGGCGCATGAGGGTAAAATTTTTACGGAACGTCACGAAGATGTGTAGTGTTTTTGTCGAAGAAAAGGGAGAGAGCAAATGAGACCGATTTAGAAAGAGTGATAAGGGTGAATTACCTAATAGACATTCTATTTTTAAAATTAAAATTTATGAAATATTAGTATTTTATATTTTATGCAAAATAATTTATTGAAATATCAAATGACGAATTGTAAATTGAAATGCCACGTGTTTTTATTATCTAAGAAATAATTTAATTATTATTATTTGTATTTTCGATACTTAATATTTTAAAGACAATTAAATTCATTAAATTCCTAACATATCTTCCTTTTTCCATCCCTCTAAGTCTCGGAAATCTAAAGCTGCCAAAGAAGTTTCACTTCTGACATGTGTACCTACTTTGTATGGACGCACTTTTTTTTCTATAAAACGGTAAAAATCGTAAATCTTGGAAGGAACAGTTGTATGTTATGTTTATAGGTTAATATTACCTTATAAAGCATTATTAAGATGCACTATCAGCACTCCCAAGTAAGGGAGCATTTCTGGAAGGAGCTAGGCTGGCTTAATTAGCCAGGACTACGCACAACGGACCAAATGATAGTGCAGTAATTGAATCCACACTTAAAGAAAAACGCTTTTTACCGGATTAAAGTTATGTTTATTATTATAAATTTACAACTATTTGACACCGTGACCACGCACGCTGTAAAGCACGCGAAACGTCGGATAAATTTAAAATTATGTCAAATAGTTGTAAATTTATAATAATAAACATAACTTTAATCCGGTAAAAAGCGTTTTTCTTTAAATGTGTAAAGGTTATGTTAATCAAAGACAATACTATGAATCCACACTATATACCGCACTATAGCCGCCCTTCCGTATCATTTTCATTTATTATGTTACTATATTGACAAGTAAATAACAGGTTTGTGACAAGCACTGATAGGCAAACATTACCTTAGCATTTAGGGGCCCCTTCCTTTATCATAAACTTTCCAAATCTATGGATTCTGAGATCGTCAAACTATCCAGATTTAAACTCGCAAGTCACATAGAAATTACACTAGCCAAATTGTATTTCGAATCTACAGAGGCATTACTATCTTGGTATGACTTTGAGGTTTCAAAAACTAACACAGACTCAGTGCACGATCATAACAACTTTCAGCTACACTCTCAAATACATGCGCATACACCCATTGACACTCACTCATTCTTAATTTGTAACACTAAATTTTTTAAATTATAAAACTAAACGAAAATCGATTTTAAATTGTGATGCAACTATGGATATCCAGAACCAGATCGTTTATCAGAATGCTCAATCTGGACAACGGTGAGTTTTGGCCAAAACGCTTTCTCTGGAAAGGAGGGACAAATGTAATGATGCCTGTGGAAACTAGAGGGTACACGAAATTTAATTTTTTGTTAAAAGGTTGGGGCAATTAACCTGTTAGGTATCTTAATTGCAAACGACATATCATTTATATCTGATGATTCTCCAATGACAACATCTTAAACTGCGCTGGCCTGGTTCGTATTGTAATGAATTTGTGATTACTTATTATTATTTTACAAATTTATTATTCAAATCACGTTTATTTTTAATTAATGCCATTGTCATTATATTAAATGAATAACGTCAAGTCAAATTAGTGTAAAACCGTTAATAGGAATGGTTAATTTCGAAATGACTATTCAATGGTCGATAATAATAATGACTCCATAGTCATTATTATTATTAAACGTTATTTATCATAATTTTAAATATTAAATCAATGACTATAAATATTAAAGTAATCTTTGACACTCGTTCCTATGACTGTCGTTCGACTCTGTGGTCGATTCGGGTTCGGTCGTGGAACGAGTACACGAAATGTCACGAAACTGGAATTACAAATGCTGGTTGCTTAAATACAGGAACTGGTTGGTGTGGCCCTCAGTTCGATGAGATGAGCGGTCTAACTAAGCAGAAGCCTTTAAACAGTAGACTCTCAATGTCGATATTAAATGGCTGATGCCAACAAACCAATCTATGACAATAAGGAGAAGTATTTGTATAATATAAATAGTCGAATATTGAGGATTCATAACAATTCAGAAGTGCGATAAGGACCCAATCTAAGGTGCGTACAAGTGTTTTATACGATTATTAATGTTATTGCTATAAATAAATAGAAATCGAACGCCCCACGTTTTCTTTGGCTACTAGAAGTTATGTACGCCTATAGAGCCAAGTGTGCTTTACATACTGAAAGGCTATGTATGCCTAACGAGCCATGTGTACGTAGTAGGTTATGTGTGCCTACAATAGGAAGCCAAGCGTGCTTCAGCTACTAGAGGCTATGTATGCCTATCGAGCCATGTGCGCTTAATGGGTGATGTGTGCCTATTAGCCATGTGTGTTTAGTAGGTTATGTGTGCCTACATTAGGAAGCCAAGTGTGCTTCAGCTGCTAGAAAGGCTAGCAGGCTCCAAAAGATAAACCACTCCTTATATGGAAATTGTATTCGTTTTTACAACAAGCTCCCAAGCGAAATTAGAGAATTATCACTAAATAAATTCAAAGCCCTCGTTAAACGAAAATTAATCAACAAAGCTTTTATAAATTTGAGGACTACTTAAATGATCCTAATCCTTGGGATTGAATTGCTCCAGTTCAAACAATTTGTATGACAATACTTGGCGATTAAAAAGAGTGGCGGAAAGTTTCTTGCCAGTTCTTCTTACCCGCTCTACGCCCTTGACTTGCGAACTGGTAGTAAATGTAAATTTACGATTAATTTAACTTGACGATTCAAAAGTGTACTTGGTTACCTACTTGAATAAAGATATTTTGAGTTTGAGTTTGAGTTTGAGTAGAGGCTATGTATGCCTATCGAGCCATGTGTGCTTAATGGGTGATGTGTGCCTATTGGCCATGTGTGCTTGGTAGGTTATGTGTGCCTACGATGGGAAGCCAAGTGTGCTTCAGCTACTAGAGGCTATGTATGCCTGCCGAGCCATGTGTGCTTGGTCGATAGGGGGTTATGTGTGCCCACAATAGGAAGCCAAGTGTGCTTCAGCTACTAGAGGCTATGTATGCCTACTGAGCCATGTGTGCTTGGTCGTTAGAGGGTTATGTGTGCCCACAATAGGAAGCCAAGTGTGCTTCAGCTACTAGAGGCTATGTATGCCTACCGAGCCATGTGTGCTTG